GGCTTCAACTGGACGGTGCTGAAGGGACAGCCGTACCACCCGTTGCGGGGGATGCTGGCAAGGGCGACGCTACTGGTGACGGCCAGGAGGACGTTCACCACAAACAGCACAGCCAAACACATTAGACGCATCATGCAGCTAGATTGGAAATGGGAGACTCACGAAAAGTTTAGTTGTCCTTCGTTTGAGCCAGGACTATCGTTTGAGCCAGGACTATCGTTTGAGCCAGGACTATCGTTGCTGTGCCAATTTGATGCTTGCAAGTACAACTTTGAGAGACTATACACTAGCATTTCAAGAATCTACATACAAAATCCAGAATCTACAAGTTCAACTTAACCACATGTCGCATACCGGTACATGAGCATGCACCTTTCTTCGTACAGTACATGTATAAACTTCCAACTTTTCACAAAAAGCCTGGGTGCTATTTCATTTTTATTTCTCAAAATTTTAGTAAACAGAGACATAATATCGACAGATCTCAACAAGACGAAGAGATGTTACGTCTCAGATATTCATTTGACGAAGCATTGATTGAGAAATAAGAAATGATAGTTTGGTTAATTGAGTTTGGATTATCATTTTTAAGACATTCCTCGCGAGGGCCGACACTAGAACCACATGTTATGGAACCGCTTCGCCAATTGTAACGCGCCTGCTCGACCAGGGGCGGTGTGTAATCTTCGGTTTTTACTTCGCTCAACGCTTCATACCTCGTGCTTCGACCGATCTTCTTCGAAGTTCGGTCCTCGTCTTCGTACGCAGCCCTTGTTATCCGGATTCCCCAGGGAGGGACGGATAAATCCTTGCGGAAATAATCCGGGGAATCCGGGGATCGAACCCACAACCTTTGAGTTAAGAAACTGATGCTCTACCACCTGAGCTATTCCCCCCCTGAAATGATAGTTTGGAAATATTAGATGGCCACTAAAGATTTGGCCATAGGGGTGAACGATCAATATACTTAACATTTTTATGCATCCTTATCCGGTTTACAGGGCGTATTTATCCGGACAATTCAAGTAAAGAAGCCGATTGGAAGGCGCGCGCCATGGGACGTCGAACACGTCGCTCAAACGCCAAGCGAGCACAAGCACGGCAAAATGGCGTCTACGGTGTGCAACAAGCAGAAATTGTCGCTATCCCAACCACAAGCAACGCCATCGAACCAGAAGAAGGTGCAGACTTGTCGTTTTTCGGGGGCTGGTGGGAGACCAATATCGCCCAGCCCATGAACACTAAGAGGCTGCGTCCGTTTGTTTACACCGGTGACAGTGATCGCACCGTGCTTCATAAGTATGCCGAGAACAGCCAAGCTCTGATATCGTGTCCCATGAAAACCATCTCGTCCTACTTCGTCTCAACATGCCCCAAGGATACAGCTCAGCTCAAAGCATAAGTACCGGCATCATTGTCAGCAGGTGAATGTTTTGTCGAGTTGGACGATCTGTACGACCAAGCAAAGGCACTTGCTGGAGCAACATTTATCCAGATATGTATCTTGTTGAAGTTTTTCGAGCTCCATGTGAGCGGCTCAAGTCGACGACAAGCTGCAACCACTGCTGCGCTTGGCATGCCAACAAAGTAGAACCGTGATTCCCGGACTATTCAGTTCTGGGCGCGTCATTTTGAATACAACGGCATACTGCCTGTGTTCCATCGTGGCAAGCGAAGTCACTCATGCACGATGAAGACTTCATGACAAAATGTGGGGAGTGGCTTCACATGCAACCACCTAGTGAAAGGTCACCTGAGCGCTTCCAACGGCACCTGAACAACGATGTCATACCACTGCTTACTGGGGCAGTTAAGGCCAACGTGTCGGAAAGTACGGCTCGCCGCTGGATGCAGCAAGTTGGATATCGATATGGCCTCTGGAAGAAGAACGTTTACACCGACGGTCACGGGCGTGATGATGTCAAGTCATACCGCGAGACGTTTTGCAAATCATTCCATGGCTTTGCAACCAGGATGCGTTACTACTGTGGCGACGGCATGGCAACGGTGGAGCATCCTAGAACAACAAATGAGTCCGAGATTGTTTGGGTTGCGCACGATGAGTCAGTGTTTTGCGCCAATGATGATGGCGGCAAAGGTTGGTCCCAAACCGACAACCATGACCTGCACAAAAAGGCCGCGGGCACTCCATCATGGTCTCAGACTTCTTGTGCCCATGCCACGGCCGCTTGTACAACATGGTGAACGGCGTCAAGAAATACACGACTCAAACGCTGCACGTCGGCTCGAACAACGAAGGATATTGGACGTGTGAGTACATGATCAAACAAATTCAAGAGGAAGTGGTCGCAGCATTCAACGAAATGCACCCGGGAGGGAAGGGATACATTACCTTTGATCAGTCGACGAATCATGCAGCCTTCGCCCCTGATGCGCTCCGTGCCTCGAATACGAGTCTTAAACCGGGTAGCGCCCAAACACTTCTTCGTCCTGGACGACTGCTGGATGGAACAACTCAAAGTATGGTCTTTGAAAAACAAGTACTCTTAGAACTTGGATACGACGTCAAGTTGTTGAAGCTGTCTCTCTTTTGCAAACAAACGCACCTCAATACATGCCAAAGCGACGTCCGCATGTGCTGTGCGCGCCATTGCAAGGCTTCCCAAAAAGACTTTCGTGCCCAGCTGTCCCTATTGGAAGAGACAATAATCAGTGCTGGTCACATTTGCGCATTCCTACCCAAGTATCATTGCAAATTGAATCCGATCGAATCGTTCTGGGGGGCGCCAAGCGCTACGAGGAGTCACTGCGACTACTCGTTCGAAGGGTTAAAGACTTGTGTCCCTCAAAGCCTTGATTTCGTACCTCTCACGTCCATCCGCAAGGTTTTTCGCCGCTGTGCCCATTTCATTGAAGCCTACAGCTTCGAGTATGACTACGAGTTAACAAGGTTCGCGCACACCAAGTACAAGAGCCACAGATGAATCCCAAAGGTAATGTCTCAAGAGAAAGCGTTGCTCGTGGATGAAATGCGTTTATAGAGTTCAAAGTAGTAAAATATATTAATTGGCTTACCTTTGGACAATTGCAACAAACCACAGCCGACAACCAAGGCGCCGTTCCGCGGGGGTAGCACATACAGGGACGGCTGGACTTCAGTGGGTCTCATGGCTCTTAACCGTCGTCAACCCGTGCCCCGCCTTGGTCCCTTTGACATCCTTAGCGGGGCAGTCTCCGAGGAGAGACGCCTGCCTAGGCAGAGGGAGACTAAAAGCACCCGCCATGTCCCCTTGGCAAATTGAAGAATGATTCAGAATTTCACGTCTAAAAAAATCCTGTACGGAAATTAATACAAATTACTGGAGGTTTTGAATTTTGGAGATATTCCAGAAAGTTTTCGAAAGTTGTAGAAGTTTCGAAAGTTTCGAATACAATTCTTCAAAAATTTCTCGTGATATATTATTCAATATATTCAAATATAATAAATATATTTTCTCGTCCAAATTTGGCTAGTTGGAAGGTTCTAGATGAAGTGCACCATAGGTTTTTAGTTTAAACCAGGCATTTACAGTTAATCCAATACTTTACTGTTAATCTTAACGTAACAACTATGGGTGGTAGTGCGCTCGGGGTTTCGGGTTCTGCCAAAGCAAAACCTTTAATATTACATAAATGGTGACTACCTGACTTATTACGCTTGAGGGGTTATTTTTGGGCATTTCTCTCAAAAAAATATTCTCACATTTTGCATTTCCCAAAACCATCTAGTGAAATACTTACAAAGCCATCTGTTCACCCATACAGTATGCTGGGTAGTTGAAGTACTACGGTCCGATTTTCCGGAAATCCTTCGCGTTTTTCCTCTTTCTAGTCTGTTTTTCATGGTTAGCCGGCGATGCATCATAATCCCGGGAACAGGCATTATATAAAACACAAGTGATTTAGGGGCACGCATTTTATGTAAAAACAAGGGGTTTCGGGGTTACGCTTTTGTCTGTACAAGGGTACGGACAAAAGCGTACTACTGTAGTTAGTACAAAACTGGAAATGGAAAGGTACATGCTAATGTATGCGACATGTGGATAAGTTGAAGTTGTTGATTGTGGATTACGTAGATTATATTCTCTCTAAGTTGCACTTGCAAGCATCAAATTGGCACACCCAGCAACGATAGTCCTGGCTCAAACGAAGGACAACTAAACTTTTCGTGGATCTCCCATTTCCAATCTAGCTGCATGATGCGTCTAATGTGTTTGGCTGCGCTGTTTGTGGTGAACGTCCTCCTGGCCGTCACCAGTAGCGTCGCCCTTGCCAGCATCCCCCGCAACGGGTGGTACGGCTGTCCCCTCAGCACCTTCGAGTTGAAGCCACCTATTGGAGCCTACAACCCTACAGCATATTCCCGGTTCAAAGAGGAGAAAAACCGTATCTCCCGCGTCTTTACCCAATGTGCGGTGTTCGACATGCCCTTTTGCCACAACGACACGTCGTGCACTCCCGCTCCTGGCAAGACGATGCCGTTCTTTGTGAAATGGATGCCAGCGTCCGTCGAGGGCAGCAAGAAGGCGCTGATCATGCTGGAAGGTGGTCCTGGCTGGTCGTCGGTTAGCTTGGAACCGTTCATGGACAAATTGCACCGCGAGCTGTCTGGTGAGTTTCACATCTTCACCGTGGATCATCGAGGCACGGGGCGCAGCGGGCGCTTGGACTGCCCGGCGGCCCAAGCGCTGAGCTTAGGAAGCCGC